CCCCACCCTGCCAACCCCATTCAACACTCACCCCACTGCCATCCGCCGGTGTCCACCCCCACCCCGGCTCACTCTCACTCTTGCCCCGTTCACCCTCGCCCGACCTCTATTATTAGGGATGGAGGCGGTCTGTGACGGTTCGGTATTTTTAAAGAACATGTACCATACAGTTACTATTCAAACGATTCAGTACGGTTTCGATTTTATGCCTAAACTCATTCAGTACCATGTCGTTTGGTAACGGGATGGTATCATGTCATACTAATGCCAAATCCTTCCATAATACTACGACGTTTTGAAAATATTTTTATTAATAACAATCAATCGACTTAATTAAAAGAAATTAGTGCACAAATATTTTTATGTATTCTTAGTTTCTTACTCAATATTGTATTGCTTAGTTACAATAAAAAAACTTAATCATAATTTGCATTTTCAAAAACTCGAACCGTAGTAAAGTTTGCATTTATGTTTTTATGCATTCTTAGTTTCATACTTACAATATTGTATTACCTCGAATTATTGTAATTCGAGTTGTCACACTAAATAAATGCCACCAAAACTTACTAAAAATAAACAAATGAAAATATATAATTAATTTATTAATTTAATATTTTAGTGGTAACGATTCGATTAAGTATTTTTGGGATTTATTTTTTGGAAACCCATCTCGTGCCATTTCAAAAATGGTTCGGTTTGGTTCGGGATATAATTTACTAGAACCATTTGAAATTAAACCTCGCTTTTTGGTTCGGTACAATGTCGGTCCGATTTGGAATAATGTCAGACCAATATTTTTACCCTCCCCTATCTATTATACACATTCTTCAAAGATCAAAAATTAATCTTTGATCGAAGTTTAATTTTTTCTGAGAAGTTAGAAAATATTTCCTTGCATTGGAAAGAAAAATTACTTCTTTCCAAACAATGTGGATAAAAAAATAATTACCTTAAGAAAGAAAATGTTCTCTAGAGAAAATATTTTTTCCCCAATCAAACACGCGATGAAAATAAACTCAGTCAAGCTTTGTTGACCAAAACATGCATGATCATAATTTTAGTACGGAAGAAGCATTGACTCATTGAGGCGTGAAGGCATGCCACACATACTTAAAGGTGTGAGGTGTACGTGGGGATCGGGAAGGCCGAAGGGGGCATCGGAAGCTGAGTTGCGGCCATGGCCATACCCTTCCTGGTGCCACCTTCGGCTGAGCCGGCCACCACGAGTGGTGGTGGCCGGCCCGGAGTCTGCAACCGCACCGAGTAATCCCAGTAGTGGGAGTACGTACGACGTACAACAAGGAAAGGGAGAAGACGTAGAAATGGTCAATTAGGTCCAAGTTATGGAGACAGAAGCAAAAGCACAAATAAGGAATGATCACCCAGACAACTAACTTAATATAGCATTTAATTAGTAGCCCAAAAAAGGTTAATGGATTGGGACATAACACAAACAAGGAAAAGGCTACCCTAAAGTCTTTATAAACAGGCAATCATTTCAAAACCACCATTTGTATATAATCTCTATATAGTTCGTTGGGATTCACTATCACAACATGAATTTCTTTAATTATATATTCAGGTTTTTTGAGCATCAATATTTTAATTTAAAATATTTGTTCTATCGTAAATTTAGATCCTAAATTCAAGATTCCAATTAATAAAACTAAGTCCAAACGAAAAACATGCTGGTAAAGTCGTAACTTGAAATATGGGCCTCGTATATGAGACTCCGTATAAAAATGAAGTAATTTTTTTATTTTTCTATTCACTTGAAATATATAGGGCTGTATATGGTACTCTCTCCGTTCCACAAAAAAAAATTATTTTGAAAAAGGACGAGATTTAAGAAATGTGTAATTTTAGCATTACTTTTCAATTTTGCCCTTACTTTATTGTAAAATTGGATATAATGTGATGACTAAACTATTAATGAATAGATATGATGTGATAAACATGTTAATTGAATGTAGACTTTT